ACAGCAAGAGCACTGCAGATATCTGCTTCTGAGAAGAGAAATGATGCCAGAGATGATGTCATATGAAGCTTCCAAATAGGATCATTTCACTAAGAACAGTTATCCTTTCATAATGAGCAAGTTTTGAGCTCCCAGTGAAAATGTGAGAATGGCAGTAGCTTTAAGACAGCAAAACCTCCAGTCTAAGATCTTTTCTAAGGAGGTCAGAGAAATCCAAGGGAATTGATGGTACAGTATACACAGACTGCACTGGTTTATTTTCTCATTCTACGAGAAACACTCTGGACACAGTATGTAAATAGGGATGGATTTAAAGCACTTGTTTTGACAGTGGTTAAAAACAGAACATTAATTATACCACAGGAGAGTTCCCAATGAAAATCTATGAGCTTTTTCCATTCCCAAGATACTGTTCTACAAAATCAATTTATACTCCTATCAATTTTAGAGCAAAAAAAAAGAAAAAAAAAAAGAAAGATCAAGCAAACTCGGAGGACTGTGTTTTGTGTACACAGAAGAATTTGCAAAGGACACAAACAGTGTTTTCAGAAATCCTTTCCAGTTCACATTTCCATCTCCATCACGCCTAACCTCCCTATTTTCCCTTAGCAAATGCTGTGCTCTAATTTTTAAATGTATTGCATTCCTACAGGTCAACACTAATGTGAGTGCAAACTTTTAAACTCTTACTTCATCAAACTACTATAGCTCACGCTCAGACTTAGTACTGTTTTTGGTAACCTAGTGAGGTCAAGAAAGTAGAATAAACAGACAGAGTGTCCCTATAAACATGGCAGTCTCTGCTACTACAGTCTTCTGAGTATTGGCAAGCACAAGCAAAAGTTGCTTTGGGTAGCACAGAAGCTCCTGCAGAGCTTTATGAACTCTGAACATTGGGTTCAGTCATTAAGTAAAGCAGGAGAACGCAGTGCAGTGAGCATGATGAATTGTAGACCTGGAATGCCAAACAGAAGTCTTAACAACTGGTCTGCATCCAGTCAATGTGACAGTAGTATCCCCATTCTCCTGTATATGGAGAAGCATTAGATCTCAAATTTGCACACAATTGAACATATCCAAAGTGTGAATGTTTTATCTATTTTCTAAAAGAATATTCAGCTGTCTGTAGTGCTTTCTGCTCCAGCCTGTTTAATATCTAGCATTACTCTACGTTTTAACCGTGAACTCCATCCGGCTTTGCAGTGCTGAACATCTATGCTGGGCTCCTTCATACTAAAGTTTCACTCTGCCCTCTACTGATTTTTTACAGAAGTACAGAAGTTTGCACCAATACAAAAGATTTCTACCGTCCTTTTTATTTCAGGACAACACAGAAACTTTCCCAAGCAACCCCAAACAGCCTCTTTCATCCTTGAATCTTTCGATGTTTCATTAGTTCATCTCTCTCAAAACACTGGTATTTTTCTTTCAGGAGAGTTGAACCAACATGAGAGCATGTGGGGTGGGTGTGAGTAGGTCTGCCCAGCAAGAGAAAGTCTTCAAGTCAAGCAAAAGCTTTGTAAAAGACAGTGCATATGAGTAAACTTCATCTAGAACAGTTTCTTGCATGTCTTTGAAATCTCTAAGAAAAAAAGACAAAACTGAATGGCAGCTTGTTCAAGACCTCCTGCTATTTCTAATTTGGATTCCAGTAGTCAAGCTCATTTTCACATTCATAATCTTCCCAATTACTCAAGGCTTGATTGACATAAAATTTAGATAATTTTTAAATTAAACAGCTCTTGGAGTTGGAAACACATATTTGGTCTTATTTTGAAAGGTGTAATAAAGCAACTGGAAACACACTGCAGATACTGTCACCTCCACTAGAACAACTGCTTCTAAATCAAATCAAGCTCAGCCTTTTTGAAGAGGCAATATCAAAAACGTGTAGGTACTCACACTTTCCTTTAACTAACTGTAAAAGGCATTTATTAAGAATATGCTTAAACTTGGATCTTAGCATCAACTCTGTACAACCTTTTCCCTCATCTTGCACTGAGACTACCAAAACTGCTTCCTTTCTGGCTGCAATAAATGCCATTTTGCCACCTCAGGTCCTTGCAGGTCTCATCTCATCATCCCTCATCCCACCTCTCCCTATCCCAACAGCAGCCAACAGTACCAGCCATAATGAAATTGTTACCTAATGAAATCTGCATTAAACCAAACCCAATCCTCTGTCTCCCATCCAAACAACTTCAACAGGAACAGAATCTACAGTGGAAGCATCAAGTTCAAGACTCTCATTCTTTCAAACTGCACTTTTTCACATTTTTAAACACTGAAGTGCTGTCATTTTCTCCCAGCAAAAACAAACAAACAAACAAAAAAAAACCCCAAAAACAAAAACAACACAGAGAATGATCATCTCTCAGCAGAATTACTGTTGGCAGACATTCACTTCCACTGCAAATCTTTTCTAAATATTCAGAGTTAAGCTTTGAATTCTCTGTTGTGAATTCAAAGTTGTTCATATGGAGAACTATGCGTAGTATCAATCAGAAAATCTTGAAGAATTATGTGTGAAGAGGCTCATCATAACATTTACAGAACACACACATGCTCAAAACCACATTCATCATCATAATTTTTAGTAAATGCTGTTCCCCATGTCTCCACATACAAATGCAACCTGTTCGTATGACGAAAAGTATTACTTTTGTTAAGGTTTGGGTAGCTGAATTGATAAACTTTCTTTGGCCACTACTCAATCCAGGCAGCATGTTTTGCTTAGAGGACATGACTGATAACATTGCCAACCGTGCAACCGACAGTGACAACATCTGCAAGTATCTGAAAGAGCATCACTCACAGAGCAGAGACTTCACTCCAGAAGGAACTGTGATGAGACTTCAGTTATAGGAGCACAACGACAATCTTGAGCGCAGCCGGAAGCAGCAAATTGGGCATATTCAGAAGATAACCTCCAGAACGGGGTTCCATCCAATTTACATGAGGGCACCACAACAGGATTCAGATGGTCCCCTGGGTACCAGGAGGAGTCTTTCAGTCAGCCAGACTCTTTGCAGCATTCCGACTTCTCCCTCACCCTTCTCAATGCCACCTACCCAAACCATCTCATTACCACAGTCAAGAGCTGCTTAAGACATCTCAAAGTCATGGCAGGATTCTGACAATGTACAGAGCCTACCAGTAGAACGTGACCTATCAGACATCTCCCTAAGTGCTGAGCAGTTATTAGTAAAACAGTGTGGAGCTCAGTGGATTCACAAATTCTTTTTGATGCAATATACAGCCTACTGTTGCTTAGCAAAGAAAACACAGTTGAAAGATCTTCCACCAGTCAGAAATTGCCGTACCTAAGCCACATATTTTTAATCACTCCTCATAGCTATAGAACATAACTTGTTCTTCTCCTTCTAGGGGATGCTGCAACACTTGGAGACAAGAAACAAGGATACACAGTCTTATTTCTCTCCCTCTTATTGAGAGCAAGAATTTGCGAGCCACAGATTAGAGAAAAACTGACTTCCTATGGAGTGGTGTCATAAGGCTGAGTTTGCTGGCATCCAATAAACAATGAAATTCAACTGAGGATCCTTGCACAGTTCTGGAGGTTATCTTCTGAATTCAATACAACTCCCTTACGCATATTCTTTTGTTTCCTAAGATTGAGTTTAAGTTGCAGCTATTTTTCAAAAGCATCAAGTATGACCTTCCTTCCACTTTCATCAAACATCTAAAAGACTACTATTTCTCTGATTGCAACCACTCTGTCAAAGCTAGCTAGTATTACTGGTCTGTTCTTTCTTACCTAATTCCAGCGCATACACTTCACTTTCTTAGGAAATCATGCTAAAAACTAAAGTTACTACCCAACTTAATGCCTTCCTCTGTTGACCAGTACTTTTCATGTCTTCTTCATTAGAAACCTGGAGCACCACAAACTAAGCAGGCTAACTGACTGGTACATGCTGGGGCTAAGCACTGTCACCACAGTTAAAGATAAGCATCTTCACATGCTACTCAGTTCCACCAGCCAGTTTTGGAAGAAACTTACAGAACTGCTATAAAGCCACTCATGCATCTATATTTAGAATCAATAAAATCAATGTGTCTGAAAATTTGCTGTTTTATAATTTAGAATCACAGAATCCTTAGAGTTCGAAGGACGTCTGAAGGCCATCTAGTCCAACTGCCCTGCAATGAACAGGGACAGCACGGCTACATCAGGATGTCCAGGGCCTGATCCAGCCTCATCTTGAAAGTCTCCAGGGACAGGGCATCAACTACATCAGTGGGCAACCTGTTCCAGTGCCTCACTACACTCACTGTAAAAAGCTTTTTCCTTATATCCAACCTAAATCTGCTCTCTTTGAGCTTGAAACCATTTCCCCTTGTTCACCACAGACCCTGCTAAAGATTCTGTCCCCTTCTATCCTGTAGCTTCCCTTTATATACTGAAAGGCAGCTATCAGGTCACCTCACAGCCTTCTCTTCTCCAGGCTGAACAGCCCCAGCTCACTCAGCCATCCTCATAGGAGAGGTGTTCCATTCTGTGGAATGTACTCATTAGTATTTCACGGTATAACCCTCATTCTCTTCCCTCATTCTGTTTTTTGCAAGGAAACGCTGCTCAATATCTGGAGAACTGCAGAGGATCTCCTGCTACAACACTATACACAGCCACAAACAGCCAACTTTGTGTTTTGTTTATATAATGACTGTTGCACAAGGCCAAGGTCAGTTTTTGGACACGACCAAATAACAGATCCCTACAACTACAGTTTACAGCCCAGCTAACTCATACTTTCTTTTTCTGATGGGTACAAATGGAATGAACCCTAGTTTTACTATTCAGCTATCTATGTTGTATGGGAACTGCTGAGTCACGGCCTGAACCTCTGATTGATCACCTGAGATGAGCAGTGAGTCAGCCAGAGGAGCACAGGTGAAGGCAATTCAGCTGTGCTGCCTGGCTCCACCTCTCCTAGATCTATTTAAGAGCTGGCTACCAGTAGGGAAGGATCTCTTTGGGAGATTGCCTTTGCTGGTGTTTTCTGAGCGAGCCCAGGATAGGGGTAAGCTTTCCATTTATTCTCTTTTGTTATCAGAATCTGCTCTGCCTAACTCTCTTGTTTATTTTATGATTATAACATCCTAATATTTTTTGATTATACGTATGTTTAGAAAGAGCAATGTTACATCTGGAAATTTAACAAAAATAAAGCCTTTTTTGTTGTTGGATCATCATATAGTCAGTTTGAAGACAATACGATGTTAAGAAGAACTAAAGGCCACTAGCATAGAAAGGATTTAAGTGGCTCAAAGGAAATGCAGGTCCTTGAGAACTGAGATCACTGCTATGTGTGCTTCAGAAAAGTCTAGACATCAAGCAAGGTTGTTGTCCTACCACATAAACACAATGCCTTAATGGGGAAATTAATTCTGCCCTGCACAGAACAACAGAAAAAAAGGCTGGAAGACTGACCTAATAAGACACACCAAGCTGATATACTGAGATGCAGTTAAACTCCAATTTTCCTGACAATTTAAAGCCATATATTCTTGACTTAGTAAGAGCAAAGTATGTTGGACTCAACACACCTGTGCTGGTACCTTCAAGATCAACAGAATCTCAGAAGGTATCATCTCAGCAGATCATAAGGATTTTACCTTGATACTCTGGTAGGCAACTGTGTAGTTCACGCACTTCAGATCAACAATCATAGTCCAAGATTCAGAAATTCTGAAAAGACTCCCAATTACTTCTAGTAGATACTTTGACTTGAGTGAAAGTGAAGGTTATGGCAAGAAGAAAGAGAATACTGCTTAGGTTACAGCAGCTTTTTTTCTTTATTTTTAAGTCTTGGATCATGAGAAAACAAAAGACTATTCTCCCTGTCCTTACGGTAATGAAATAGCAGCAGGAGTAGGAAGTTATTTTTCAATTTAAAAAAAAAAAAAAAAGCTTTGCAACTTAATTTCTTGTTGTGCTCATAACATTCTATGATTCTTGAAGCTTTTAAGTGGTCAGATCACTTTCACGCTACATTCACATTTGCATTTATCTTTCCTAAGGAAACAGAGTGGTTCAGTGGAGACTGGTTTCTGACTTTCTTCTTGCTGTGCTGGAAAACACTGAATATAAGCATTCTCTTCTGAAATTTCACCAACACAAACTGCCACATGCTACCAAGTTCTTAAGCATTCGTACTGCCCAGGAAGATTTCAGGCATATCTGACAGACCTCAGCTATTTGTGATTTTATTCAATTCTTACTCTGGAAACATTGCTGATGTTGGATCTACTTCTCAAAAAACATTCAGCTTCAACAGTCTGGGCTTATAGCATATCAACATCAACAGTTATAACTGGATCTTGCTTGCAATCTGCAAAACTAACTGAATTCAAGGAATGCCATAGATTCAACTACTAGCTTTAGAGATATTTTTCTGTTGCCATTACACCACCTGTCTGCTTATCTCCAAGATCAGCACGGAAATCAGAGTGCCATACAGATTCAGAAACGTGCTGAGATGCAAACTGAGGCCTGTTATCTGAAATAATGGGACATCAAGAACTCCGTTTTCCAAAAGCAGACATCATTGTCTCAATGATGTCTATAGGCATACACAGAGAACTAAGTCAGTTTGCATGGAGGAGAGATCATCTGCAACAGCAGAATTACATGGAGCCTTTTAAACTAGATCAGATCGTTTGTTATCAGGCTCTACAGCCTGTGAAGCAGATGCATGGAAAGTCACGCTAGACAAACTTTTTTTCATCTTACATTTGTTACATACTCTTAACAGAGTCTGCATCTGCCTACTCAGTTTTTGCCATGTGCAAGCCATCTGATATCCACCCACCCAAAGCATCCAATGATTTCTTTTTCTCCCAATTGGAGCAGTGATTGCAATTCCACAATGTTGCCACAGAGGTCAGTCATATCGCTTTCAACTCAAGCGGATCTTGCACTGTGAAAGGAGATAAACACCTGTCAAGCCCCATAGGAGGAGAGAGACTGGGGATACATTACCCTCTGCACAAACATTTCCCATACAGAAGCAGCTGCGAATCAAATTAACAAGGAGCACACGCATCAAGGTATGCTCCAGACTAAGAGCTTGTTCCCTGTCACTCCCTAAGTATCATAACTTCAAGGAATCTTTTTAAGGCTTATGCTTGCAACAGTAAAACTCTTTGGGTTTAGCTAAGTTGAGAAATGCTGTCAGCTGAAATTTGCTTAACATACATTTTGGTGTGGACTTTAGGGCATTTGATGTGCTGCTGTCCAAATTCATGCTTCCTCCTCTGGGCCGGCTTTAGAAGGCGCTTCAGAAACAGACACAAATGAGGTCAGACATGCAGTCTGTAATACCAGACAGAGAGACACATTTGATTTAAAAGTAAGAAATGACTCCTCTGATCTAACAGTCTTAGCAAAAAGCCTTCTGACTTCTAATACTCTGAGTGTCTGGAAAATACTCATTGTTAAGAAGCAGACTACCAATGAGAACCATAAATGCGTACAAGTTTGCCAATAGGGTTCTGTTTTGTTCTGATAGCCATTGTCTCCTGAGGGTTCTGAGACTTTTACAGCTATCCCAGACAGGAAGCATGAGAAGAAAGGCTGACGGCCCAAGAGGAGCACAGAAGCATCATTTTACCTCACACAGCTCAGAGGAGCACAATCAGATTTCTCAACTTTGAGACTCCCCGGTGGGGGAAAGCAGTCTTTTGCATTTATCTGCCACACGCTGCCAGCGAGTCACCGAGAAGCACCCAGCACGCTGAGCACAACCTCTGTACTGCCACCTGCGGTATCCTGTTAGGACACTCAGCCGAGGCCCCTCAGCAGCTCACTCCGTAATGCCGTCCCACAGCGGCGGCCGACACGTTCCAAACGAGGCAGGGCGACTGCGGGACGTGCGGGACAGCGGGCGGCCCGGAGCCCCGGCGTTCTGCCCCTCCCCGCCCGCAGCCATTCCCCAGCTCCCCCGCGACTACAGCAGCGGGACCGGGGGCACGGCGCGCACCTGCCCGACGGCCGCGGGGCTGAGAGCTTCCAGCCGCCGCCCCGCCCCTCAGCGCCGACAGCCATCCGGGAGCCCCGCGCCCTCCCGCTCCCAGGCCGGTCCCCCCGCCCCAAGGTACCTCGCGGCCGAGCCACCGCTCCTCCTGCGGGCCGGGGACCCTGGGCACGCGCCAGGCGGCGGTTGACCAACGGCCACTGCAGGGAGCGCGCGCACGCGCCGCTCCCTCCGCCTGCGCCCCCACCCCCCTCCCTCACTCCCGCGCGCGTCAGGACAACGTGCAGCGCCGCCCGTCCCCAACCATCACCTTGGGACACGGAGGAGCCCAACTGCGCACGCGCGGCTCTTCCGCCTCCGCGCGCGGCCTTCTGGGACTCGTAGTCCTCTCGCAGAACGAGCCCTAGCTCCTACCGCGCGCGTGCGCAGTGTCGCTTTCGTCCCCCGGATATGACGTCGCCGCTGTAGAGGCGTCACTTCCGCAAACAGGATGGCCGATGGTCGTGCTGGGTGAGTAGCGCGCGTCTTTCTCAATGGCCTGGTGGTGGGGGCGGGCTGGCAGGCAGCAGTGCGGGGAGACCGGCGGCCGTTGGGCTGCAGGCCTGGCGGTTAGCCGGGGCGGGCGGCAGCTGTGCTGCTGGGAAAGCAGCTTCCATAGCTCCACGGTTGAGGAGCGCGGGCCCTGCTTGCTAAGGGTGGCGTGGAGCCTCGGTGAGTCCTGTGGCAGTGATGTGCTGCACTGCACCGGGAGTTACGGGAATACAGACGCAGCTGGAGGCCCCTGGTGTTAGTGAGGGCATCGTGGGTACTCTTGGTAAAGTTCAGAATCCACGACTGATGTTGAGGATTCCTTTCTATAAAGCGTCCTGATTTCTGTGTTTGATGGAAATTATGTGACGTTAAAAGATAAGCTTGCTATTTTGAAGCATTCTGTTGGTTTGTATTTGTAAATATAAAGTGGCTTGCAGGTTATATTCTAGAGGGAAGAGGGTGGTTATGGTCTCAAACCCAGTGAAAATTAGCAGGTTAAGCAAGAAAGATAGCTGTGGAAAATCGATGGAAAATCATTACTGTAATTGAGAGTATGTTAAATTCAGTGCCAACAGTAGATCTTTTTTCTCCGTAGTTTATTTTGATCAATAGGTAGGGAATTTAACCTGTCAAAAATGGCTGACTTAACCAAAACTGAAGAAAAGGAAGTGGAGAAGAGTTTGGATGAAGAAGTGGAGGGAACATCTCATGCTTCAGAATCAGATTCAGGTATTAATTTGGAAGGCAATAGCTCGACTTCAGGTACAGCGCACTCCACCGAAAATGAGAACAAACTTGCTAGTGGTGATCAGGGCAGTGGCCTGAAAAGGAGTGTAGCAGATGTTGAAGATGAACCTCCTAAGAAAGTTCTGGTGAGTATTGTTCAGTTTAACTGAATGTTGGCATGAACTTGTGGGTAGCTTTGTTGCAGTATAGTGGGTGCAGAAGTTATGTTGGACTTAAAGAAGAGAAAGAGGGTCAGTAGAAGTCAGTGTGTTTTGCATGCTGAGTTTTATCCTGTGTGTTACTCTACTTATCTATGCGTGAGAGTTTCTTCACTAAGATAATTTGTCCTTTTATTTCCTGAATAAAATATTGTAAAACTTAAAAAACTTTTCAGTATGGTTTGTTATCAAACTGGAAGGTTTGGAGATGCTTTCTCTGGTTTCTTTTGTGTTTGTCTCTTTTCTGTTTAAGACTGTGTAGGAACAGCAGAAAGTATTTGCCTTTCTAACTGAAGGGTGAAAAAGAGAAGCAGTCTTTTATATGAAACTTTCTCTTCTTGTGTACGGGTTTGTAGAAAATAATGCTGTATTCTTCATCTGGCCTAATTTTAACCTCTGGAAATATTTAAATGCAACTTTAAAATGTTTTTAACCTAGTGCTTTGTTTCTCTAGTTTTTACTGCGTTTTAACTTAAGCAGTCTGGGAAAGTAATACCCTTTGTTGTGGTAGAAGCACCTTTTAATCTTTTTAATAAAGTATGTGTGGGATTAGGTTTAGGTGGACAAATACATTGCTTTTGTGTAGCCTAAGGGTATAGAGAGTGATTACACTGAAAGCAGCTGCCAACAATCTGGGTGTTACTGTAGTTTTCTACTTGTGGATGCAGCAGCTGAGAGGCCTTGCTGGATTATATGTATGTGTCTCACATGTTTATCAAAGTCACCTTCAGCAGCTATTGAGCAGGCCACCTGTGCTTTTCCTAAAAAAAGACTAGAAAAGGACAAAATATTTGTTAGTCTCAGTCAGCTAAGTGAGGTAATAAATAGATGATGAGGTTATACTGTTCCAGACAAGAATGTCTTGTACATGCTTAAGTTTTTGAAAGTGGTATAAAACACTGAAGAACTAATGTAGCTTGTTAAAGTCTGTGAAACCTTCTTTTCCCTTAAGCGATTGGTATGTCATTGATAAGGTATCAGGGTGCTGACTTTTGTTGTGGATTACTATTGGAACGGCTTTCCATTGGAATGTAAACTCATAGTGGCTAGAATTCTGTGGCATGTTTGTGAGTTTTGACTGAGAATTCTTCAATTTGTTTGTCCAATTAGATGCTTTTGTGCTTCACAGAATTTCTGTTGGTTCTCGGTATTCTGTTATTGCATTTATAATTTGTTTTTTCACATGTGTATACAACTGAAGATTGTTTTTAAGGTGATGAGATGTTTGGAGCTATAATATGTAGTTATAGAATGCTTTTCAATATCATGTGGGGCTTTTATTTTCAGCTTGTTATGGTAAGGCTGAACCAGAGTTATTTCTATAGCTAGATAAATACTAAATGGGATACTCTTCATCAAGTCATTATTCTCTTTCATACTGTTCTTTCTCTCTACAGAGTGAGGCAGGCCATGGGCAAGCTGTAGCTGCACATTATAATGAGCTTCAAGAAGTTGGGTTGGAAAAACGCAGCCAGAGTCGCATATTCTACCTCCGAAACTTTAATAACTGGACAAAGAGTGTCCTCATTGGTAAGTTTTCTCACCTAATTGCTTAGATTTTAATGAAATGTTTTATTTTTCATACTATTATTTTTCATACTAATTTAAAAGAGAAAGGGACAGTTTTGGATCATGAATAATCTGTTCTTGTTGAGCTTTTATTGCTATATTTGAATCTATCTCAATCAGTTGCTAAACTGTACTCTCAGAACAGACTGTCCTTAGGTCTTGAACACACAAAATAAATATTTTTTTGTGATACCAAAGTCAGCACTTTAAAAAGATGAAAAGCTAGAGAATTTGATTCTTAAAAAAGCAGCTGCTTTTTACATAAAGCAATATCTGTTGTCCACAGATTGGTTTCCTCACTCTGGAATTAAAACTTCACATCTTCCAACAGGGGAAAGATTTATCAGCAGAGAAAATTCATGGGGAAGGAGCTATGCTAAGAGATGTTGTCACCATTTGTCTTAGCATGCTGCTTTTTCTTCTGTTTTATCAGAGCAGTTAAAAGCAGTGTTTCGGTTCATGTAAAGCTGTTCTTGAAATGTGTTCAAGCCTTTCAGTCACAGTCTAATCTCATTAGTTTGGCATTACAGCTGTAGTCTCAAAACATAGTTTGCATCTCTTGCTGTGAAGTTGCTAATGTGTCAATATGTTTTCCTAACACCAGCATTACCATAGATTGACTCTAGACAGAGTGGAGATAGAAAAGAGAATGAAATGTTGAGTACGTGTTGAGTAAAAAGACAGCGAACAAGTGGCTAGTGTTATTGCAAGGCCTGGGAAAGACCAAGTGGGGAACATTATGCAAGTCTGTAAAGTGACTGCAAAAAAAGGTTGTGGCCGATGTGTTTAGTTGGTTTTAAATCTTTTAGCTTTCACACACTTAAAAATAACATCTGCCTTCACCATAGTGGTAAAGAAAGGGAACTCTGTTCTCTCCTCATGCATGGAACAGTTGTTTAGAGATGTGCAGTTTTGCTTTTGTTTACCAAAGACGTAGTTCAGTGCTCCGGTCACATTACAGGCAGTGTACAGAATGTACAGAAAATATTTATCTTGTTCTTTGTCCTAACAATTTGTGATTGTTACTTTCATCGTTAGTAGTTTCTAGTACAGGGAGTTTAAGTCTGCAGTGTTAAGAACACTTAACAACAAAGAAAGTTCTTAAATGGTTCAAAATCCTTGAGCCCCTTTGGTCCTCTAAGGATCTCTGTACAATAGAAATAAGTCACAGAGACCTCTATGAGCATTCTGTCTTTTATTTTCCTAGGGGAATTTATAGACCGCATACGACAGAAAAAGAGTGATATTACTGTTTTGGATCTGGGATGTGGCAAAGGTGGAGACTTACTGAAATGGAGGAAAGGCAGAATTAAAAAACTTGTCTGTACAGGTAAGAAGGCACAGTAACTTTCTGGGGTAAGTTAACTGATGTTATGGGAAAAATAAGCACGTCTCTGGTCATGTAGTGTTTCCTTTTTTATGATGTGCCCCAGAGTACATACATCTTTTGTCAAAAAGATTTCTTTTGTATATTAACTTGAAGACATTTGTTTGCCAGCATACACAGAATATTTATCATTCTTACAATTACGAAATTCCAGTTCAACTCTCAAATAAAAACTAGTATTGGTAAAGAAGCACATTGTTAAGGTTGGAAACAACCTACAAGGTCATCCAGTCCAACCATCACCCATCACCAATAGCTCTCACTAAACCGTGTCCCTCAAAACAATGCCCAAACATTCCTTGAACACCTCCAGGGTCGGTGACTCCACCATCTCCCTGGGCAGCCCATTGCAGTGCTTGACCACTCTGACCACTCTTTAAGAGCAGAAAGATGATATCATCTTCCCTTCTCTCGAAAAGTATTCTAGGTATCATCAGTCAGAGGAGACATTGCTTAGTTTCAAATTTAATACGTACCAAGATTTCATACAGTTCCTTTATTGAGAATTATTCTGGGTATTCTACATTTTATAGGTCTTTGTTGCCTTTCTTTTTCAGTTGGCAGCCTTCAAATATAGTCAGTGAATTTGCTTACAGAGACCTTATGTATAAATACATATAAATTAAATAAATTAAATATAAAGTAAATAAATTATCAATTGTGCATTGCTGGTTTTAAAATTTCTCCCAGTGTCATTATTCAGTGAAACTCTGCCTGTGCAGGAAATAGCCTTAAAAACAAAAAAAAATTCTGAATGTATTTATTTGTGATATATACTCAAATTTCAACATCTTTTGTATTTGTAAAAAAGTAAAGAGTTTTCAGTACTGACTGAAAAATGCCTTGAAGCTTTACTGATTTAGCTAATCCAAAGTAGACAGTTAATGATTGCAGCACTTAGTATATCCATCATGTGAAGTTTTGAAAGCATCCTTTGGGCTCACGAGGATGGGAACTTTCTAAAATCATAGAATCCTTAGAGTTGAAAGAGATCTTTAAGGTCATCTAGTCCAAGTGCTCTGCAGTGAACAGAAACACCACAGTTGCATCAGGTTGCCCAGGACCTGATCCAGCCTCACCTTACAAGTCTCCAAGGACGGGGCATCCACCACCTCTCTGGGTGTTCCATTGCCTCACCACTCTCACTGCAAGACTTTTTCCTTATATCTAACCTAAATCTATCCTCTTTAAGCTTGGAGCCATTTCCCCTTGTTCTATCAACGCAAACCCCGTTAAAGAGTTTGTCCCCTTCTAAAATCTAATGGCTACAACCTCAGTCAGTGTTGGAGACTGAAAATGAACAGAAGTTGTAATCTCAGATGCTACCTGCAAATGAGATTTTCTCTACAAGCTGGGCATAAAACTTCATGTCAGAGTATAACTGGAGATCAGCTTTAACTTGTGGCTTTATGACTCTGCAGTGTTCCAGTAATCATTCTAGTTTTCTTGTCTGGGGCGAGGTTTACACTTCTGTTTGTTTATTTCTAAAAATCTCTCTCTATAGATATTGCTGATATTTCTGTGCAGCAGTGCAAGCAGCGATACGAAGACATGAAAGCCCGATGTCGCTATAATGAACGTATTTTTGATGCAGAATTTATACAAGCAGATAGTACCAAGGTAGAGATATGGATTATAATACTTCTGGGATTTAACATTCTTTTGTTCAGCAAACACAGGAAGTGATGGTAGCTCTGTAGTACCCGGCTGTTGTTTTGTATTTTTTAAATCAGATTGTTGTGCTATTGGGAGAATCAACCATACAGATTATTACAATGTTGCATAAAACTATGTTAAATGTATTTGCTGTAAAGTGCAACTTTAATGAAGCTTGATTGTCTTTTTCAGGTAATAAACCTGTTGCTTTTAGGTTCTTTCATTTGATGAGGGAAGGCAATGAGTATTTGTTGCTGGAATTTCTGGGGTTCAGCATGGGGTGGTGAAAACCATCTTGGTGAAAGTGTTTCCATGCTGGAGTGAATAAGGGGCGCTTTGTAATTTGACTTGTACAGTTCATTTTGCATAATGCAGTATTTTTTTCTAGTAGCATTTTAATTACTATAATATTTACCTTCCCTAAATGAGGAAGTGAATGAGAAGTCTGAGAGGGAAGAGAAACTGAGCTAGCTATGAAATATTAGCATGTCGTGGGCCCTGGAGAGAATTTTCTTGCTGCTGTGTTATTTGTAATTGCTGCTAGTACTGTAGCCTGAAAAGAGAAGCTGGAAAACTGCTGTAATACATGGCCAAACTGTACCTGTTTCAAGAGCTTCATGTTCTCCAGAGTTACTGGTTACTTAGATTAAAGAGGGGTATGGAATTATATATGTATGTACGTATTCGAAAATACAAACAAATGCAACTTGGTTGGCATGAAAATTGCTTTATTTAATAGAACTCCTCCATTAATATGTGTAATGGGTATCTTCCTAGCAAAATGAATGTCTGTTGTCATTACAGAAATGCAGAAAACTGAAAGCATGTTTTATTGTGATGATTGTTTCTGTCCAAAGTGTGAATGGTTATGAAACCTTAAGCAGTAAATTATCTCTGGAAATTTCTAGGGAACTGTGGTTTTTCAGGTGTAGTGATGTAGTTACTTGATGACAAGAGGAGGATTTTAGGACATCATTCTTTTATCATGATAACAAGTTTTTTCTGTGTTATCAGTGAGTTTATTTCTTTCTCTTACCTTTTTTGTCTTGTTCTGATTGAACTTGTGAAGGAGTAGATATTAAGTGACTTGAAAGAATTATGGGAGTAGTATATTTTGCTACAAGACTTAAATGAATCATGCTTGTTTGTGTAGCTTTTGTCACAAGTGCTTTTTTCCTTCTTTCTTCTTTTTAATTTCAGGATCTTCTGTCTCCCAAATACAGCGATCCAGACACATGCTTTGACATTTGCAGCTGTCAGTTTGTTTACCATTACTCATTTGAGACATATGAGCAGGCTGACATGATGCTTAAAAATGCCTGTGGGAACCTCTCTCCTGGAGGTTATTTCATAGGCACGACTCCAAATAGCTTTGAGCTTGTGTAAGTGCTTTTTTAGCCTATTAATCTTCTAAAAGTCTGTGAAGTATTGTCAAGTCATAGTTGTTCTTACATTGCTCTGATACACTTGTGTAAACAAAACTGAACTTTTTGCAACAGTTTTGGATTCTAGTCAGGAAAATCTCTCTGGTTAACTAAAACAGGTATACTTGTACTGATTCTTGTCTCTGGTACCCATGGCTTTTCTGGAGCCAGTGTGGATCTTCATACACAAACCTTTGGTAGTGACTTAAATAATGGCAAAATAGTTACAGCCTGGAAAGCAGCTGTCAGGTTTTAGTTTAGTAACACCAATAAACATGCTTTGAGCCTGTAGATGTGCCTGAACTAAAGATTTTTCTAGATCTATATGTTTCTGGTATACTGTGGAGGAATGATAAACTTTTAGAATATAGCACATCTCTTCATTTCTTTTCATTTTCATTGCTTTATTGGATTTGGAATGTGGGAAAGTACAGGAAACTGAACAAGGTGATACTGGGGAAAAAACATTTAGAGATCTCTTGTGCATTGTTTTCTCCATAAAATTAAAAACATTTTTATCTCGTTTTATAGAAAGCGACTTGAAGCTTCAGAAACAAATTCATTTGGGAATGATGTATACAGTGTAAAATTTGAGAAGAAGGGAGAATATCCTTTGTTTGGCTGCAAATACGATTTCCACTTAGAGGAAGTTGTTGATGTCCCCGAGTTCTTGGTTTATTTTCCATTACTGGAGGAGTAAGTTGAGTTTTGAATTCATGATATAATGAGAGCAGCAAAACAACATAAGCATTTATATAGCTTGTCTATTTCTGCAAATCACTGCAGAGGATCTTATTTTGTCTTTCTTATGTTTTCCAGTTCTTTGTTTTTTGTTGTCACTCTAAATGAAGAGTTTTCTTGGATTTCTGTCCAAGACAGTAATCTAATATCTGTCCATTGCTCAACTGAAGATGCTCTGGTCATTGGTGCATCCTTAGAAATATCCTGTATCTTATATAGGAATTTCCGTACCTGGTTGATCTTGCTTGTCTTTTCCATCCTTTGTTGGAACGTTCATAGATTTTGTCTTTCTTCTAAGTCTTTTTCTGTGAGCACCATTTTGCTGTTACCACTGCAAGAGTTCAGATTGACCTTTCCCAACCTGTCGTCTTCTGAGATGCTGACAAATGTTTCCATATTGTTTTTTTTTTCCTCTGGCATTCAAGCTCAATATGAATGTAAAGCAATGTTGAGCTTTCTCTTCAGATCTGTATATTTTCACACACTTTGCAGTTCTTTATGAAGAGTAATAGCATTAGTTGCTGGTGCTTGTAGCTTCAGTGTTGTATAACAACAGTGTAAACATATAATCGAGATGTAATGCACTAAATGTAGTAGAAAGAGAATTCCTTAATACATGCATAATAGCTGTGGCAGATGTTGATTACTGATATGAGTCCTGGAGATGTTTTTTCTGTTGAAATGTTTATGATGACTTCTGTCTAGATTTTTGTGTTTAATTAAAAAAAGAAGGTACACTTCATGATGATAATGCAGTTATTTTCATCCGAATGAGTTTACTAAAAGAATTCTAGAAAGACTGTAATCCCAGTGAATACCACGAGATGTCACTGTGACTTAAAATGGTTCTTTTGAGAATGAAGCTACAATAACTTCATTACTATACTACAATTATTTTGACAGAATGGCAAAGAAGCATGGTATGAAGCTAGTTTACAAAATGACATTTCGGGAATTTTATGAAGAAAAAATCAAGAATGAGGAACATAAGATGCTGCTAAGAAGAATGCAGGCCTTGGAGGTAAATGTGGAGTTAACATCTTTCTTTCAAATAGTATTTTATATCTAGTTAATTATTTGTGAAATAACTGAAATGCCTGTTGTGGACATCAAGCAATTAAGTAAGGAGCACCTTAAGTATTGAAGAGTACTGAACTCCTGTGGCTGAACAGGGTAATTATAGTGAGTCAATCTTTATTGGCTGATAGATGCCCACCCAGCTGATTTCTCACTTCCCTTCTTAACAGGACCATGACAGGGAATTTAAAAAACAACAACAAACAAACAAACAACAACAACAACAAAAAAAAAGACAAAAACGTTCATGGTTTGAGATAAAGACTCAAATCCTGAACCTTTTTGCCTGAAAGACTGCTTACCAATTGTCATCATTTGCAATCCAGACTCAGGGAAGATTAATTTACTGAAAATTAAAAAAGAACAAAAGAAAAAGTATGGTGGGAAATGAAGACACACCCCATTGACCCTTTCTTCTCTGGCTCAACTTCACTCCTTCGTTGATGACTCCTTTACCTGCTTCACTTGACAGAGTGGCTCTGGGGGATGAGGACTGTGGTCATTGCATAACAGCTCCTTTCTGCTGCTCCTTCCTCCTTGCTGTTTTCCCTTGCTCCACTGTGGGTCCTTCTTATAGGCTGCAGTTTTAAAGAACCGTTCCAGCATAGGTCCATTTGATGGATTGAAATGCTTCAGGAGCACTTTGAAACCTAGTTTCTCCAGCACAGGCACCTCTCCTACATGAGCTGAAGCTTCCTAGCTTCCTTCATGGATTATCCACCTTTTGTGGTGTGGAGTCCTCCACCATCTGCAGCTTGGATACCTGCTGCTATGCCTGCAACAAGGATGATTTAGTTCTCTGTGGTCTGCCAGGGAACAACCTGCTTCACCTTGGTCTTCTCTGTGGGCTGCAGGGGAATGTGCCTCCAGTGCTCCTGCCTTCTCAGACCTTTGTGTCTGCACCTGGTAGAGTGCAGTTTTGTAGATAAAATTTCAGTTTTGAAGCAAGTTTACATTTTTATTAACTAGTAAGTAGAAGTGCATGTTTACTGGTGTTACTTGACCAAGTATGTTGGTTTCTGTAATTTTGCGCAAAAACACAACATTCATGCCTGTTATCACGCTGTAGAAACTGTAATCCAAATCTTCAATTGTGAAGCTGAAAATTAAGCCTTAATGCAAGAAATACTGATTGAAAAACAGAAACTATTCTTTGTAGGAAGAAAAGGAAGACTGTGTTTATAGAGAGAAAATAAAAGAAACTTAACTGTAACTGAGTTTATTTTTTTGTCCAGTGGTCTTGCTTTTTATCCTCAAATTGTTATACTTGGTAGCAGCTTGTGAGGAGCTTTTTAATGTCATCTCTGAGGGCTTCGCTTCAGTCACTGTTCCCTGTGCTCCCCTCTTCCCATCAAAAGGCAAAATTTTTCAGCATGAAGCTATCTAGTTGAGTATGTGGTGGCATATTAAGCTTAGTCATGTGGGCTGTAAGTAGACTTCACTACCTTCGTTGACTCTAAAGCAGATAGTGTTCATGCTGCCAGTAACATGGCGACGGACCATCTTATATGTCAACATTTTTCTTATTAAAGTAGAGCTGTCTTCAGTTAGTGGCTATGTCCAACTGAAGACAACAATGTTAAGTATAGGCTGCTTTGCAGTAACAGGTATCCCTAATAAGTATATCCTAGTTCTGCAGAAACAGGTGTATAATTCTGGTTATAGCTCCCATGTGTTATTCAGGCACTTTAGGCATTCTTCTTGAAGTCTTACAGTCTTTGTTTTCAGTAGTTCTACTTCAGTTGAGTTCGGTTGCTGTTCTGAAGGAATGTTTATCTAGTTTGTGTTCATGAGTTATGTGTGAAGCATAACTTTTATTGCTTATTCTGTCTGCCCTTTTTCATACATGCAGTGGATAAAAGTTAATTTATAAATTCTGAGTATTAGATTTTCTGGGATAACAGGTAAGTGCTGGGCCTGATCAGATAGGTGCTTTAATGGAAGGATGTAAATGTAAGATATTTTAATAATTAATGACCTCCATTTTGGGATGTGTTGTTGTAAACCATTGCCTGATATGAATATTGTATCTTATACAAAATTAATATTTTTTTTCTTGTTTTCCTGTTTTGTGCAGCCATATTCTGCATTTGGTGATTCCAGGCTTGCCTCTGATAAACCTGATGATTATGAGCATGCAAAAGAGTTTATCAAAGATGGCAAGGCAAAGTTACCATTGGTAAATATTCTCTCATCTGGTGTCTAAATTGAGGCTGTAATCTTGCAGATGTTTGGTACCTTCTTCATTTCAACTGCAGTGAAATTGTTGTGAATCTTCTACTCATGTTCTGAATATGTACTTCTTTTACTATATATATATAGTAAAAGAAGTAAAAGTAAATAAATATAAATAGTATATAATAAAATAAAATAATGTAATATTAAATATAATAAAAATAAATAGTAAAATATATATATATATATATATAGTATATGTATCCCACATCGAGTGGGAGAAGAAACCTGCTCTCACCATTTGAAATCCAAAAATTACAAAAAGAAAGTTGCCTCTTTTAAGAAACAAAGCTTAAGAGCATGAGGATGGCTGAGTTAGACCAAAGATTTCTGTTGCTGGATATTCAGTTGGCCAGTAGCTGTTGACTGGGAATAAGTGTGAGAAGAAAGAGCGTAAGTGCTATGTTACCTAAACAAGTCTTTTTAATAATGATTTTTAAAAGATGAGTTGTTTGATCAGCATTGGTTGGTAGGTAGTGTATTGATTAAATAAAGCCCCAAAAGAAGGCAAGCTGGTAGCAGTTTTTTTCACTTGTTTTCACTTCTGCCATGCTTTCATCTGAGACACAATGAGAGGTGGACTTTATAGTGCTGCCAGGCAGGTTTTTTTTTTTTGTATATAATACATGAACTGACTTGGGAGTTGGTCTGCAAATAGTACTTTTGTGGTGTGGAAGGAGGTGGAGGCTGGCAATATTCCTGGGGAATGTGGCAGTCCTTTGGCATAGAGCCTCTCCTTGGCTTCTGCATGAGTGCTGGGCAACTTCAACCAATGAGCATTTGGATCATGCTGATTTTGCAGTGTTAGACCTAGTGTGCTCCTGCATTGTACAGGTACTGAGCCCAACAGCCTGGTGTCCTTTTCTGCTATACCTGTGTAACATAAGTGTCTTCCATTATCAGGGCTATCCCAGTTCCCCATCATCCTAGTTAGTGGAGTTGTATGTATCTGTGATCTACTGTAATGCTCATCTAGTGCCTGAAAAGCCATCTAATGTGAGTGGTTAGAAGTTGGTCTGTGAAAGATTGATTACCCTGAGTTAAATAGGTTTTTAATTGTTTTCTCTTTTTTTTTTTCTTTTTGTTTGAACTGGTTTTTGTATCCTCTTCTAGGGAACACTGAGTAAATCTGAATGGGAAGCAACAAGTAAGTATTGTTTCGAGAACTTGGTGTTAACTGAGTGACTGCTGTGGAAAGCATATAAAATAGTCTGTCAACTATGGAAGAAAATATGTATTTTAAGTGTAACAAGATTTTGTTGTGTTATTTAAATGCCTATGTATAGATTAGATTGTCCAAGTCATCTCAAGAAATTGGCTGGGGGGAATGCATAAAATAGGTTGAAATTTTGCTTTATGTATGTAGCTTCTAGCATGCAGACTTTTGGGGCAAAAACACTTTGGGAAGCTTTTCTTAGTGTATGATAAGAGGATGCTAGTGTAAATCTTCTAATACCAGCAAAATAATTCTTCAAATATGACACTTATGTGTACATGTGTGTTATACCATTACTAGACAACTGGAAAACAAATTGGAAAACATTTGGAACATGCATTCATTTAAAAACAAAAAAAAAACAAAAACAGCTCTGGTTTGGGAAGGCTGACTTGAACTTTACTTTTTGCCTGCAGTGGTTAATATGTTTCAGAAAGCAGCAGTTAAAGCATGGATGATGAAGAGGGGTTTGGATGTTTTATAAAGGGAGAAATCAGTGCGTCACACAGAAGAGCATGCAATGTTATTAAATATGCTTTGAGTTATGTAAGGATGATTCAAGGAAAACATTTGCTATGTTTTTTTTTTTTTCCCAATATTGAAATATTGAAAAATATTAAGAAATATTTACATATAATAGGAATTTCTAAGGGTAAAAATTGTCTCCAGGGAGACTGTTATTAACTGATGTGTAACTGTAGCCAACCAATAATTGCATTTTTGCAGACCATTATATTTGATGTGTTTGTGATTTTAAAAAAAAAAAAAAAAAAAGAAAGCAAATCAATTAATGAGTGGAAAAAATCTTAAGGTGTTTACGTTTAAAATTATTAGTGGTGTGATTCTTAAGGTAAACATTAATTGAAGCAGTGTTAAGGTATTATGTAATCTACATATCTAATTGAGAGACTTTTTATGCATCCAGAAGTTCAGTGATGACTATCTCTAGAGTTCTAGCTTATTTATTCCTCAGAGAAATTTAGAATCATCAAAAACTCTATTTCAGAATGTAAACACAGCTTGTTCATTATTTTTGTTGGCATTTTTGCTGAGGAATATAAAATAGGCTTGGCTTGAAAGATTTGCAGTGTACCAAGGAATCTGCTAAAACAGATTCTGAGTTTAAGTGGAAATCCATTTATTTTTGAACTCGCAGTGCTTTACCATGTCTGTCTGGTATGAAGCATAAGTACTTCTGAAATAGCTGGCATTGATTAAATGCCAAGTAAGTATTTTCCAATTTGCTGCTGTGGACTTTTCCATTTCTGAAATTATACTGTTCTGCAGTTGAGAAAATACCATCTGGCATTTTTAAAATATCATGGATAAAGAAATGTTTTCAAGAGGAAAATTGTATTTTGTACTACTTTTAATTGAAAGTAAGGTTGATCATTTGACCCCTAATTGTCATTACTGCCTGTATAAAGAAGTCTTTAAACTTAGTTGTATGTGATGTCTTATGCACCAGGGAATGTTAATTATGTGTAAAATGGTTGAGTGATTTAAGCAGCACTCACATTTCAGTAGTATCATTAACTGAAGTTGCTGTTGCATCAACAATATCAGCAGTACTTAAAATATTTGCTTCTGTGCACACTTGAAGCTCTATCTTGAAAATATGTCTAAAACCATGCTGGAATTGAATGCGAGAGATACCTGTTGGGAAACCATGGCAGTTCTTATGGTATCAGCAGTATGTTAATAGCTTGTTTGAGCAGAATGTAAACCAGCTTAAATTTTGAGCGCTTACATGAGCTGGGGAAGAAGGCTAGAACTTAAAATGCTCAATTTTCTTTTCTAGGTATTTACTTGGTATTTGCCTTTGAGAAGCAGCTGTGAAACTTCACATACCAGACTCAGCAAGAAGAGCTCATATCCATGTGCAAGTTGGAGCGGTCAGAAATCCATTGTGGCAACTATTTTTTTATTTTTATTTTTTAATTATCAGAAGTGTGCAGGACACTACCAAAAACGAGAGCAAGCTCACGATTCTGAGTTACATTGCCTGTCTGTGACAGATGGACTTGTGTGTGTATATATAAGAAAGATTCTGAACCAGTCTTTTTAAGCATTTGTAAGCAATCTGAATGCTCTCAAAACTTATGTTTGAACTTGACAACTTCGTGTTAGAAAAAAAAATGTTTTGTTAGTCTTATGTTTGTGCTTACCAGCCTCATGCTGCACTTCCTGAAGTTGATGGAAAATGACTTGTTAACTGTTAACTTCAGTGATGTAGAATGAGGACCTAAATATTGTAACGCAAAGCTCAGTTAGTTCATAATGTGATGGATTCAGACATGCAGGGTATGTCTACAGTGCATGCAGAGCTTAGTGACAAACAATACCCATGTCAGTTTGAGTACTACTTATGTGCTGTGCTCCTGCCTGCAGTGTAAATCTACCTTAGAGATATTCATGGTGTAGTTTACACAGTAAAGTTTCATGATGTTTTTAGTTGTTGTTGTTGTTTTTTTTTTTTTTTTTGCTTGCTTGCTTGATGATATATAGTGTCACTTCATGGTGCTTCCAAGATTAAATTTGTTCTGTACAAAGCTGCTCTAAAAGAACTGAATTTCTGAACTTTTAAAAATCTTTACATCGTTTTTCCAAGTGTGACTATACAGTAATGAATAACAGCTGCTGAGCTTAAATTACTGAACATTTTCTATTGTATTAAAGACTGTACTGACTTTTTTGTAGTTTTAATGTCTCTTTGAAACTTACTAGATGGATCTTAGGATATGTTTTGCTTGTTTCATAAAATTCCAAATAGGCTTGGCAGAAGAATTAGCTCTTAGTGGTGATGGGGACTTCACTTAAAGCATTAAGAACATGATCATGAACTAAAAAGGGAACCCTTATAATAGTTGAGGGTACTGGAATTTCACTCTGGTGGGGATGGTTGCGTATGTGCACACACACCATTAGATATAGGAAATAATTTCAAAATGAGATCCAAATATTCTGCTTGGGAATATAAACTGATGTTCTTGACAGGCAGAATGATACCTAACTCCTGACCTACTCTCTGCCATTCTATTGGACCTGGCTTGGAGGTTTCTGGCATCATGTTTAGTCCTCCTTTATTATGCCAGTAGCCACCCACTAGTGAGAAGATGAGGGTTACTTCAGGATTTTTCTCTCTCTTCTTGAGCTAAGAGATGCTTTTTGATGCTGTTGGCTATTTTAGTTTATATACAGATTAATTGATAGTGTTGATGGTACACAAGTATTTTTTTGCAAACCTATAATAAACCTAAGAAAGAACAATGCTATTAAACATTCAGATTATTTGAGTTTGTAGTTGCAGAGCCTTTCCTCTGTAAATTAGCTCATACACTTTCCTCTGACTCTTGATTTTTAATTTTCTAGAAGATTATGTATAACCTTCACTAAATCAGTAGTATCACAGTCATGAGTTCTACTAAATTTATTTTTAAAAGGTGTTTTTCTTTTAACTAGAAATTGTACTTAAGAAACTACCTGGAATGTGCCAACACTTAAGTGCTGAAAGATTTCACTGAATTTTTTGTGCATCAAAGCTGTTTTGTTAGATTTCTTATCTGAAGTTTCATTTGAAAGTACATAGTTATGCTATTTTTGGAAGATATTAGAATAATAAAAAGGGGAGATATACAGAGGAGTGTTTCCTCTTCTAAGCTAATTTCAGCATATTGAAAATGAAAACTGTGGAATGGTTGAGACATGGAGGGGCACCACTGGAAGTCTGAACTAACCTTTTCCCATCCAAGTAGGCAACCTGTGCCATTGCTCGGTCACTCCCATAGTAAAGATGTTTAGACTGCACCTCCTATGTTTGTGCCACTTACCACCAGTCACACTTTACACATTAGCCACCTTTTTGGCATGGGCATGCTTCCCCTTTGACTTGTGTTCATTTGGAGTCCACCAGATCCCCTAGTTCCTTTTCTGCAAATCTGCCTTCCATCTGGGTGGCCCACAGCATGTACTGGTCCTGTTGTTGCTCTTCACCCAGTAGAAGGATTTAGCACTTAACTGAACTGTGTGAGGTTCCTATTAGCCCATTTCTTCAGCTTGTTGCGTTCCCTCTGAATAACTGTAGAGCCCTCTGGTGTATTTGCCACTCCTCCAGTTCTGTGTTATTAGCAAACTTGCCGAGGTTGTACTCTACCCATCTAGATCATTAATGGAGATGTTGAATGGGATTGGATCCAGTATTGATCACTTTGGTAGACTGCTAGTTACTGGCTCCTAACTAGGCTTTGCACCACTGATCACTGTGCTCTGGGACCATCTCTTCAACTAGTTTTGTTCACCTCCTTATCTGCATGACCAGACAGTACTTTGTCAGCTTTTTCTATGAGGATCTTAGGAGGGTAAGTGTCAAAGGTCTTCCTGAACTCTGTGTAGACGATATCCACTGTGCTCCCCTCATCCACCAGGCCAGTCATTTCACAGTTAATCAAGTAGGTCAAGCTTAACTTCCTTTTGGTAAATCTCTATTGATGATCTTATCCTTCACACGCTGGAACTGGTTTCCAGGATTAGCTGCTCCGTTACCTTCCCAGTGATTGAGGTGGGGCTGACTGGACTTCTTGGTGGGAGTGACACGGATTTTACTAGTCTGTGGGCACCTCTCCTAATTAAAATGATCATTAGAGGATTATCAAGAGTGGCCTTGCAGTGACACCAGACAGCTCCCTCAGCACTCACAGGTGCATCCCATCAGGGCCTATAGGTTTCGTATATCCTATTTGTTTATATGTTCCCTGAACTGATCGTCTTCTATCATAGGTACATCTTTCTTGTGCCAGTTCTTCCCCTGGTATCTGGGACCTAAGGTTTGTGAAAGACAATCTTACTCATAAACACTGAGACAAAGAAGCATTCAATTTCTCAGCATTTTTCCTGTCTTCTGTCGCTGCGTCTCCCATCCCATTCAGCTGTGCATCCATGTTTTCCCTACTCTTGCTTTTGTGACTTAGATACCTACGGAAGCTTTTCTCAGTGCCTGACATCCCTGGCCAGATTCAATTCAAGTTGGACTTCTGTCCTTTCTGAATGCATCTCTTTATACTTGGACAGCATGTGTATTCATGCTAGGTTACCTGTCCATGCTTCCACTATTTGTATGCGTCCTTTTTGTGTTTGAGTTTTGCAAGAAACAAATCACTCATCTATGCAAGCTCCTAGACATTTTTCCTGACTTCCTACTTGTTAGGATAGACCACTTGTGGGATAGAGCTTGTGGGAAAGTGATGCTTGAATATTAAGCTTGCTTTTGTGGGACCCTCTTTCCTCCAGGACCTTATCTCACAGAACTCTTCCTAGCAAATCTTTAAAGAAGTCAGTCTGCTCTCCAGCAGTCCAGCATTGTGACCTTGTTTTTCATCCTCCATCTTGCTCTCAGGATCCTGAACTCAGCTGTCTCATGATCAATGCAGCCAAGGCTACTTTTAATCTTCATTTTCCCAACTAGCCCCTCCTTGGTAAACACTATGTTCATCAGAGCACTTCTCATTGGTTCTTCTATCACTTGGGCCAAGAAGTTATTAGTACTCTCCAGGAATCTCCTTTTGCTTTTGTCCTGCTGCGTTCATCCCTTGGATATCAGGGTGGTAGAAGTCTTACTTGAAGACCAGAGCTTGTGAATGTGGAACTGCTTCTAGCAGTCTGTAGAAAGACTTATCCACTTGTTCTTTGTTGTCAAATGGCCTCTAGCAAACACCCGCAGGTATGTCCGTCATACCTGGCTGCTCTTCAGTCTTTACTCATAAGCTCTCAGTTGGCTCACTGTCCATCCTGAGGCAGAGCTCTGTGCATTCCAGCTGTGCTTTTACACAAATGACAACTTTTCTACCTCTCCTCATCTTCATGGCTCATCCTTCCTCAAAGGTCTTTATTTTTCCATTGCAACACTCCAGTCATGCAATCCATCCTGGCAGTTGAGACCTCTGTTGGAGCCACTTGCTCAGTTTGTGTGGAGAGCCAGCATTACTGAAAAATGTTTTTGCTTCTTCAGCCTTGAAAAAACCTCTGTAAAGTGGGCGTATGAAAATCCTGTTTTAACTAATTGCTCAATATGTTCAAGACTGCAGTGCGCTGTATGTACAGGGCTGCACTGATAGAAAGCCAAACATCAGCACTTTCTATTTATGAAGGATTTGATGCTCATGAAAGATGTTTGGTGAGGTAAGGATGGAAGACTTGTTCACAAATCAGGTATTCGGCTGCCAGTGGCTATTAGCCCTAACATTTTTTTTCCTCCTGTCTCCACTTTTCAAAGAAGCAGTTACATATTTGTTGCAGGACTGCTGGTCTTGCAGCTGAGGTTATGTGGTAATGAGTGTTAGTATAAGTAATTTTTCCTTATGGGTCTTAGGATATTCTACAACCTTACAGAAAAGTGGTGAGGTGCTGAAACAGCTGCTCAGAGAAGCTGTGGTGCCCCGTCCTTGGAGCTCTCAAAGCCAGGTTGGATGGGGCCCTGGGTATCTGCACTGCTGGGGGGCAGCCCTGCCCACAGCAGGGGTTGGGGCTAGGTGGGCTTTAAGGTCCCCCCAACCCAATTCATCCTGTGGTTCTATGATTCTGTGAAAGAAATAATGACATTAAACACTGTATTTGTGCAGGAAGTGTGTCATGCTACAGTCAATTACTGTTGTATCGATGCTGTATTGTATGAGTTTGCTTTTGTGAATTACAGACCAGTGTGATAAAAATTGCTGCAAAGCACTGAAGCATGTGCTGTGTTTTGTACTTAGGTTTTAATCAAGTGCTAAAGGTGGCTTGCTGCCTGGTAGAATCTACTTGATTGACTTAAGAAGCTCTCCTTGCTGCAAATTGTACGTGTACTCCTGTTACAGTGTTTGAATAATGTGGTGAACACCTCAGTCCTTTGACTAGGAGTCTTTTTCTTTTGAGTCACATTTTATTTAATAAAGCACTCTCCTAATATCTATTTTTATTAAAAAGAGTAACTATATTCTCTCTTCTGATTGCTAAACTGTTTGCAAAGACTTTGAAAACTGTTAATTTGGGAAACTCTAAGCTATGTAGCAATAAATTTAGAACATCTGCAGAGTAATCAGGGGCTGATGATGAATCCACTTTTGCAAGCCACTTATTGCATAAGTAATAATGCATCCATGGGGAGAAATGGCTTGTCTAAAATTAAGCAGGATTACTAGTTGTCTTGTAATGTCAGTCCCCAGTGTTCACTGTCTGCTACAAATGTGAGCCTCTGCCTGTAAGAAAGTGAGGAAACATCTGCATTGTTGCACATGATTGCAAGTAAGCGTCCTGATTTTTCAGAAATGCACAAAAATCAGGTCATTTATCTGCCAAAGACATGGAGACAACAGTTTAAGTTTTTGAACAAGAAACCTCAGTTGAAATTGAAAGAAAGATGTCTGAAATCTGAATCCTAGTGCTGATGACATTATAAATACCTTGTGCTGAACTAAATACTG